CAAAACTTAAAAAGAATCAGAGTATGGCTCAATTTAACCAAGAACTCTGTCATACATTTATACCTGATTATACTGCACAAAATGAGTTAATGCCCCATTATAGTTGATATAATCCCATAGGGTCATTGATAAATTTTATGTAAAAATTTCATTTAAAATTATTCACAACTTGTGAATGGCTTATATTTTGAAATCATTAATTCAGACATATAAAACAATCCCTACTTTATAGAAATGAGTTATTTATATCACTTAGAATTAAAACTTTCCCTCCTTATATTTGGAGATGGGAGTTTGAACCCATATAACTTTGATGGGAAAACTGTTCTTTTTAAAAACATCTTTTATGAATTCATTTTTGTTTTCCTTGAATTCATTTTTATCAAAATGTAAATACTTTAATCCCATTGAATTTTAAAGTCTCATTCTAAACTAAAATATGAAAGTCTTACTGAACTCTGTTTAATTACATCAAAACATTAAACACAATCACATACTGATAGTTAAGCAGCTATTAAAAATCTAACAAAAAGGTGCTGGCTTGATTTTTTCAGTGTTTCACAATAGTTAAAAATATATAGCTGTAATACTTACTTAAAAACAATTGTTTTCAGCATTTCCACCTTCATTCCTAGAGATGTAGAGTTTAAGAAAAGTAGATTTTCTATCTAGCATAATCTCTTATGTTATTTGTTTTAAATTTGCATAGAGGGAAATTTGGTCTTCTAAGCAATTAAGCTTAATATTCTAAACAATATAAGTCCTTTATCTTCTAATTTGAAAATTTTTATAATTACATATGTTGGTTCTATAGTGTTTGTATGTATAATCCTCTATTAATATATGTGAGTTTTCCACTGAATTAACTGATTATATTCCTATTTTTAAGTACACTATAAGGAAATAGCTTTACATCGCAAGCTGTTGATTTTTTCCATCATATTCCCCCCTTTTCCTTTCATAAAATTTACTGTGCAGATTTTGCCTTTGTAGGATTTAGTAGCATTGAATTAAAAATCAAGAAATTCAAGAGTAGTTTCATGTCTACTATTACATGATATTATATAACGTATAAACTTGTTGGCAGTAAAGCTTCCACATATATGATTTACTGTGAAAAAACAAATCCTCTTGAATTAATATGAAATAGAATTCCATAATATATATTTTGTTTCCATTAAAAGAATCTTAATCTGTCTCATGACTTTGCATAGCAAATCAAAATACAACGCTTTCCCTTATGTTGTTTAATACAGTGGTCATCATTTGTATACCACACACACACATACACACACACGTATGGCAGATAAGCTGTCTTCTGAATTGACCATTTGCACTTGCATGCCTCCAGAGACTTAATCTTGTTGCTGATGAATATCCTCGTGCCTAAGAATTTTATAGATAACCCAGTAGAAAATATTAAAAATCAGAAAGGCTAATGGGAAGCAGGCTCGAGAGATGGTGTCAATCTTCTTGGCCCGATCGATAAAGACCTTCCTCATTTCATCAGGGCTTTTTGGCATTACCTGGACAGGAAGGTTTGGGCCTTTTGGCGTGACACCGTCTTTTGCTTGTAGACATGGTCCCATTCCATAGGCTGTGAAGCTGAATCGACTTTCCCTTACCTCATCATCCTGTCAAAGAAAAATGTAAGAAACCCCTTTAGTAACAGAATAGAGCATGTGTAACGGGCAGTTCAGAATCATAACAAGTTTTATCACAGTAAAACTGCGATAAAGTTTAATATGAGGAAAAGATATCTGAAGCATATAAAGATGAGTTGCTTTTTTCCCCATTGAAGTTTTATTCATTTATTCCTGCTACATCCTAGAGAATGCCCATTAATAAATATGAATCTCTTAAAAGATATGTTTTAATAGAAAAACTAAAATTCTGACAGTGTCTACATATTGCTAGAATATCTAAATAAAGAGACCGGGACAAAAAGCTATTGGGATATTGTGTTATATATGTTCATTTCCTAGTCTTTTTCTGCATTGTGATAAATATGTGATATCAAAGGGGAAAATACCAGCATCATTGACTGAATTTTTCTTTTTCATGGAGGCCAACTTTTTAATGCTTGTTTCCTGCAATTCTAAATTACTTTCTTGGAAAAATACATTCTGGTTCAATAACATGGCTTTTGTTATCCTCACTTTATGCTATTTCTCTGTTTTAGACTAGTCTTTTTGGAAAATCTATAAGATAGTC